CAGCTGCAACACTTTTCTTGTGTTTCTTCCCTACATTCCTTAAATGTATGTTCTTCTCCACACTTAGGACACCTCTGCTTTTCTGGTAACACTTTAGAATAGGTACACAAAATTTGATTAACTACTTGGGAACGCCTCAGGAACGAATCAGGAACAAATCAGGAACAAATCAGGAGCTAATGGGTAGTTAAGCAGTACTTACTGGGGAACACACAGCCAAGCCTTATAAGGGGACTACTGGTTAGTTACCTTGTAAATGAAGAGGAACTAATCAAGAACTCATGGGTAGTTACCAAGGAAAGCAAAGACGAATGAATCAGGAGGTAATGGGTAGTGGTAACAAACCAGTAGTCCCCTAACAAGGTTTGGCTGTGTTCCCCAATAAATACTGGTTAAGTACCCATTAGCTCCTGATTCAGTCCTGAGGCATTTCCTAGTACTTAATCAAATTTTGTGTACCTTATTGTAAAGTATTACCGCTTTTCTTTACACATTGCTGCTACATTTCCATAACACTGACATTTGAAGCAGTGAAGTGGAGAAGGTATAAAAGGCCTGACTGACAAACTTGCATCCTATTCAGATATTTAGATTTTTTTTCTGGTAAAACTGCTTCTGAAAATTCTATTAGAACTCACATGCTTCCAACTTTTTGTCCCTTTGCTTTTTTTGACAGTCTTTTTCACATAATTTTACTTGTATTCCAACAATGCTTCCTTTTATTTTTTCTAAATCCTCATCAACTAGTATCTCTGTAATCAACTCCTTAATAGTTTGGTTCTCTATAACCTTTCTTTCTATCATCTTTCTGCAAATGGTTTTTGATGTTTAAAGCCTTATTTTGTTTTGTTTTCTACAAATTACCATTAATTTTTCATCTTTCAATATAAGTGCCATTTCTACATCATCAATTTTATTTTTAATTTATCTGGATAGTACAATGGGACTACAATTTCCCTGTTTATTCTCTTTGTTGAATTTAAATATTATTTTGAATTCCTCCCTCTCAATATTCTTATACTTTATCCTCATTCAAACTGTTTTCTTCTAACTCCTGTTTACTTCCATGGCTGTTGAAAAATCCCGTCCTACATCTTGCCCCCACCATGTTCTCTACCTTTCCTTCTCACAATACTTACCAGTGTCCACTCCTTAAAAATTGATATCATCCTCTGTATCTCCTACTGATTTGCCATTTTGATCCCTTCACATGATTCAACAAAAAAGTTTTTCTTAGACAATCTTCAACGGCCTTTATGTCACTCTCCAGTCATACCCCAGACTCCAGCCAACTCAGCGTCCTCCTCTGGCAGCCTTGATCATTAAACACCACAGGTGGCTCATTAGGAGAATAAGCCACTGCTGAGGAGGAGAAAACTCCTTCTTGCCACTCAGGAGCTGCAAAAACATGATGTGAATACAGAAAAAAAACTGGAATCTCTACACATGCAAAACTAAAAAAACACTCCATCCTACATTAAATAACTTATTGCTCCATATTTTCTAAACCGAACACTTAACTCCCAGATTGCAGGTTTACTTGTAGTTCCTATAGTCTCTAAAATTAGATTTAGAGTCAGAGCTTTCAGCTCTCAGGCTCCTCTCTCACAGAACCAACTTTCATTTTCTGTCTGTGAGGCTGACACTCTGTCTACTTTTAAGACTAGGCTTGGATCTTTCCATCCATCCATCCATTATCTTTACCCGCTTGTTCCATTTTGGGTCACAGGGGTCGCTGGTGTCCATGTCCAGCAATCACTGTGCGAGGGGCGGGGTACACCCTGAACAGGTCGCAAGTCCATCACAGGGCCACATAGAGACAAACGAGACAAACAACCATTCACTCTCTCATTCACACCTAGGGACAATTTAGAGTTACCAATCAGCCTAACATGCATGTTTTTGGTCTGTGGGAGGAAACCGGAGTACCCGGAGAAAACCCATGCATGCACGGAGAGAACATGCAAACTCCACCCAGAAAGGCCCCCGGACCGGGATTTGAACCAAGGACCTGCTCGCTGAGAGGCAGCAGCTCTACCAGTTGTGCCACCGTGCTGCCCCTGCTTGGATCTTTCCTGTTTGATAAATCCTGTTGTTGGGGTTGGCTTGTGTTTCCTGAGCTAGCCCTTAGTGATGCTGCTATAGGCTTCAATTTGACCACATCTTCTTACTCTTGTTGTCTCACATATGACTGTGCACCTACCTATCCAGGCTGTCATATTGTAAAGTTTGCAGATGATACAGCAGTGGTTGGAAGTATCACAAACAATGATGAGTCCAGCTACAGGCAGGAGGTGGAACACCTGGAGAGCTGGTGCAGGAAGAACAACATTCACATCAATGTGAAGAAGACAAAGTAGACGATTGTGAACTTCAGATGGAACAAACCAGATGGAACAAACACACCTACACCCACCCCCACCCCAATGGAAGTGGTCTCCAGCTACAAGTACTTGGGTGTGCACCTGAATGACAACCTCAGCTGGGGCAACAACACCACCAGCCTGATCAAGAAAGCTCATCAGAGACTCTACTTCCTCAGGCGGCTGAGACGAGCTGGTCTGGGAAGCTCAGTCCTCACCTCCTTCTACAGGTGTGCAGTGGAGAGCATCCTGTGCTCCCGCATCAACGTGTGGCATGGAGGCTGCACAGCTGCAGAAAGTAAAGCTTTGCAGAAAGTGGTGAAGGCTGCACAGAAGACTGTTGGAGTCAGTTTCTCCACTATAACAGACATCTACACCTCTAGATGCAGGAAGAGTGCCAACTGCATCATGAAGGACCCCACTCACCCAGCACACACACTTTTTGTCCCACTCCCCTCAGGAAGGAGGTTAAGGAGCATTAATTGTAGAACCACTAGACTGAGGAACAGCTTCTACCTTGAGGCTGTTAGACTCACAAATCCCTAACCAGAATAATCACTGTGAAAAATCACGTCATGTTGCTGCTGATCTGTTTCATGCTATGTTCATTCGTGCCCTTCTTCCCACACAGACTCATGTTTGTGCTGCTCTTTGGCGTATTGTTTTTATGCTGTTAGTGCTTAGCATATTTTTAGTTAACATTTTTCTTAGTTCATATCTTAGATCTTATTACTGTTTTTATTTGCGAACGACAATAAAGAAACTCTGACTGTCTTTACTTGATCTCCTCTTCATATTTATGTAAGGAATTATTGACATGACGTATGACATTAAGTTGTGTTTAATTTGGGTGTTCTTCCCAAAGAAAGTAGACCTAGACGAACTCTGTTTAGTCTGTGCTTCTTTCCTGTTGTTTCCAACCCATATTGGCTAAGTGACTAAGTCACACAACTTTGGTGTGGGGATATCAGGGATTCACGGTTTTAATCCCAGTGCCAACCTCAATTGCTCAGTGGGACTAACCTGTTTAAATAAAGCTTAAATTAATGAGAAAAAAAAAAAGCCTCAGATCAACCTCATTTACAATAAGTGAGAGACATAATTATGAGGCCATGCCAGCTTGGACGTCCCCCAGATTAACAAGGTCAGTGTCAGATGTTGGGGAACTAAGACATTCTGATGAGAAATGGGCTACTAAAACTCTAATAGCTTTGTTTCTATTTGGTTTTACTCAAGTGTAGGTGTGTCTCCATTGGGAATATGTCCTTCACTCTATGGGTGGGATTGTCAGTGCAAAGTGGGTGGTAGCCTAATTTTATTTTTTAACATTTGTCCCAGCATTGTTCATATATTCGAGTGTAGCCATGTGGAACCAGTTTTTCCATACATCTCTTGGTACAGTTGCTCATTCCTTGTGGCTCCTTCAAGCTCACGCTATATGTGCTCATCAGCCAGAATAGACAAATAGGTTTGCACCTCATCACTGGTTCATGGGATTACATGTGATTTGCAGCTCACATTGCTATTTCAGGAATGTATGCTCTGCAATGATCAGATAGAAAATGACACTTCAGGAGGTGTTTTCAAGTACAGCCTTGCTCATCCAGTGACTTCAATCCACGGGCCAATCAACAACTGCAGTTTGCTGATGTCAAATTCACTTGCTGGCTTAGCTCACTTGGAACCATGGCTTAGGTGAGTCCAAAAAATGAGGAGGAACAGTTAATAGACACACAATTGGCTGGTGCTGTGTTGATGTGAACTGATTAAAGCCACACCCGTGGAGAAGCAATTTATGGGTACCAAGCCCCATCAAAAAGCCCTGGGGAACTGAATACAAAAGAAGCTGACCTGAGAATAAAGATTGTGACCAAGCTAAGTGACAAATCATCTTCTGAAAGTCTGCTAGAAGTCGTGAATGCAGCATTGCTAATTATCCCTAGTGACGCCGTCATAGAGACCAAAAAACTTCTAATCAACACATCCACAGTGATCTTGGACTTGCTCAGCTATAAGATCAAGCCAGTCAATAAAGATCATTCCCCACCATGGAGAAGGAGGCTGGAAGCTAAGATCAAGGCACCAGGGAAAGAACTCAAACAGCTGTCAGAACAACAGAAAGGTGCAATGAATAAAGAGCCACAGCAATATGTCCATGCCTGGGGCTCCAGAGGCTGCCAAACAATACCTCAAAGCTCTGGCTACTTGCATAAAGACATAAACTCAAGAAGCAAATGCCAGAAGAAAAAAAACAGGGTATTCTCCACCACACTATCCAGAGTATTGTCTCAATGGCAGAGGAAGAACATAAGATTATATCCATAAAGTTATTTTGACCCAGAGCTAAGACAGCAATACTGGAGAAACATATGGGAGAAAGAGACAATCCCAAGTGACTGTAACATCAGGAAGAAGGAGCATGAGAAACTTGAGAAACACCAAGGGCTCAAAGAAAAGAAACAGAAGTTGACGAGAGTCAAAATCTCTTTATACATTTGTGTGTGTGTTTATCTTTATCAAATAATCTGGACTAACTTGGCTTTTGAAAACTTTAAAAGAAAAACTGTCAATAAAATGATACTTGACTGATTTTTAATAAACTGTGATGAATATGACTCCCACATAATGAAACCTTACTTGTGTCCCATCTCATGTGCCACCGTGAAGGCCATTGGGAGTCCCGTGTCTTCACTAATGCTGCAACTGCGATGTGGCTGACACAGCCCTGCCACGTGAGACAGTCCCAGAGTCTCACACGGTGTGTTGACAGCCGCACATATGTCCTTCCTGTGAAAGGACAAGAGTGTTAGTCAGATACTTCATCTTCAGCCAGTTGGGATCATTCATTCAGTCACTGATTGCAGGATAAATGACTGCTTCATTTGATTCTATTTTAGATGCAAACAGGATATTTTTGCAAAATAAAAAAGGGAATGTTTTCGTTTTCAATGCCCTCACTGAAAAACAGCAATAGTATCAAAATAGAAAATCTGTAAGGAGGTGGTTTGGTATGCTGAATAGGAATGAAGAGAGAACAGAAGAAGCATGAAGAATATCTGGGGTGATGTGAACTTAAAATAAGTAAAAGTCAAAGAACATCAGCTGAGAGTTGAAGTAAGATCAAAGAAAGAAATACATCAAAAGAAATACGGCAAAAAGACAAAATATCATTTATTTGTGCTTAACTTCAATTTTTAACAAACTTCCCCAACTTTGTCTGCGTCTAACTATTTTGACGTAACCTTTACGTATAACCAGTTGATATTTTCCCCATCTGTTGACTTGTTTTTGCCGTAGTTCTTATTATTCACTAAACCACTTTGCTTTTTGTATTTTTTTCCCCCTCAGCAATTACGCATGGTTTTATCTCCAGTTTTATTTCCACTTCCTTGTTTGTCCCAAAATTATCTCAATTTGCTTGATTGTTGACATCTCTTCACTTTGCTGGTAAATTGGTCTCATTTATACTGATGTAAGAAGTCAAAATTGAACAAACCTGTTCGGTTTGGACAGTTTTATCTGCAATTATACCTGCATCCCATGCTGTGTGAGTCACTGTAAATATACTGATGCATCTGGTCACAACCTTCATTCACCCATGAAATTATAGGCTAAATTTAGACTACCTCCAGCTCAAGTAGTTTAGACCCTATTACATAATGTTTATCTCCCACACACGTGCAACTGATTTCATTTGTGCACCGTTTAGGACAAGTGAAGTCTAGACATGTCATCTTTTGCAGTGAATTTCAGAGAGCTCAAACTAGCTGGATATCATTTTAATTATAGGTCAATTTAAAAGCTGGACACTGAAGAACTGTTTCAAAAATAAACTTTTTCCCTCACAAAAGCGTGGTTAATTCAGTACTGTTATTGGAGAACATTTAATTTGTGCAGTAGTTGCAATGTTTAAGTCCTTTAAATTCTGTACCATTTTTGTTCATGATGTCCCAGAAGAACCTTGCTTGGTAGCAAACATCTTGTAGCTACATACCGCACAATAAATGTTAAACACATTTAAATAAATTATGTCTGTATGAACCACCTTTTATTCTCCTCAGTTAACTAGAAAAGTAGACCTTTGGGATTTAAAATCCATTTTTCAAGAGGGTTTTAGCAAAGACAGACAGCAGTTCACAGCAGTAATGTGTATAGAGATTCAATCAGAAGACGTATACATTCAGACAAGACTTTGATTATTGTTGGTAATGTTTAGTCACATTTAATTTTTTAGCCCATTCCTTTAATTGCAATTTTACACAGACAATTGCTAAATTATTATTATTATTATGTATTAAAACAGGGCAGCATAGTGGCACAACTAGTAGAGCTGCTGCCTCTCAGTGAGCAGGTTCCCGGTTCAAATCCCGGTCCAGGGGCCTTTCTGGGTGGAGTTTGTATGTTCTCTCCGTGCATGCGAGGGTTTTCTCCGGGTGCTCCAGTTTCCTCACACAGACGAAAAACATGCATGTTAGACTGATTGGTAACTCTAAAGTGTCCCTAAGTGTGAGTGAGAGAGTGAATGGTTGTTTGTCTCTATGTGGCCCTGTGATGGACTGGAGACCTGTCCAGGGTGTCCTCCGCCTCTCACACAGTGATAGCTGGAAATGGGCACCAGTGACCCCTGCGACCCATAAAGGAAGAAGCGGGTAAAGAGTAGGGATGGGGATGATCCGATCCAGTATCGGTATCGGCCTCCGATACCAGCATAATTTACGTATCGGATTTACCGATCCTCCTGCCGATATTTCCAATCCATGATGTATGTTGGCTTCAAACTATGGAATGGATTTCCTGAACGGCAGCGTGTCTCATGGACCCAGAGTAATAAGACCCGCCTCACATTCAGGAAATCCAGTTCATAGTTTACAGCCAGCTACAACGTGAGGACTGAGTTAGCAGCACTGTGGCTAACAGCTAACAAACTTTTCATCGAAACATGTCCGCTGTGTGGAAGTATTTTACACTAAAAACACCACAAAGCAATGCAGCAACGTGCAATGTCTGCAGAGCCATAGCGCCACATTAAACCGCGGTAAAGTTAGTTTTACGATGGACATTCGAGCTCCGTGGCTTCAGCGGGGGCACTACTCTTTGGTCAACCCAGGGTGGCCAACTCGACCCCGGTCAGCCGCGTCCACTCTGCCCCGTTCAGTCTGTCCGTCTCTGAGGAGGGACAGACTGAGCGCGGCTGCCCCAAATCAGGCTGCCTGCTTTGGATTGAACAAGAAGAAGACATCGCTGAAACCATAGAGCTCAAATGTTTACCGAGAAGTTGCTAAACTTCATCATAATTAATGACCAACCACTATCAGTTGTAGAAAACGAAGGATTTCACAGCTTGATACTTGCAGCCAAGATATAGTTTACCCTCCAGGAGATATTTATCAGTACAACAATAGACAATCATAAAAAACATGATTTGAAAATTATATATATTAAAAACATAAACAGCTACATTATAAAGTGATGTAAAATACTAAAAACAGGAACATGTCTTTTGGTTTATGCCATGAACTTAGCAGATGTTTGAAGCCATTTAACATTTTATTTAATTCATTTATTCATTCATTTAAATGAAACAAAATATAAAAAAACATCAAAAAGAAAACATTGAATGAAAAGAGTGCAGAAAGAAGAAAAAAAATTCTTATATCTGCCCCTTGTTTAAAAAAATATAAAACAACTTTAAACAATCACTTAAATTAATCACTTTAATATCCACTTTAAAGCTAGGAATAAAAAGAAACTTGTTTTGTGTTAGAATTTAATTCTAACTTTAAAACTTATCCAACATTAATACAACTTACCTCAAGTTGCCTTTTTGGACATGCATGCATATATTTGTACAAATTGTACTTGAGAGGAGATTATTACAGCCTCGTATAAAATCAACGATGATCATGATATCGGAACTGGATCGGTATCGGCCGATACTCAGAGTTAGGTATAGGGATTGGATCGGAAGTAAAAAAAAGTGGATCGGTGCATCCCTAGTAAAGATAATGGATGAATTTATGAAACAACAGCACTAAAGTGCTATTCTGTTCTGTTCTGTTCTGTTCTATTCTATTCTGTTATGTTCTATTTTATAATTTATAAAAACTATACAGGTATAAGCTACTATGTTTTAAATATAAAGTAAAAGACCTGAAGTTGTGTATATTTTGAGTCATTACAACAGACATCATGAACTGTCAGCAATGATTTACAGACATATTAAATGGTTAAAATTTATTATGTTTTGGACATGGCTTTATTAGGATTTAAGTCACTTTAGATCAGATTCTAAATGTGAAGGACTCCGATTGAGACATGAAAGATACTAAAAGTAAATTTGATTTCAAGACTGAGTAGAAGCCTGTAAACTTGAAAATGTCTGAGTCAGACAAAGATTCACTGAACCAGAAAATATACCAAACAATAATTAGAACAAGCATTAAGGTTTTTAATTAGCTTTATTGTCTCACAGTAGACTATCAAAGGTAAGAATGATTCCCAATTTGTGTATTTAAAGAACATCACCATAATATCCAGCATAAAAATAAAAAAGGCAGAAACAAGTCAAATTGCGAAACTAAGGTTTTGTTAATCATCTGCCTAATTTATGGATGTGAGACTTACCTTAGTGCAAAAACAACTTAAGAAAAAAAAAGACTCTTATCTAACACAAACTAGTTAGCATTGTTTATTTTCCTTTTTTTCTGGTATGCTTCTTCTTTGAGAAAAATAACAGTTTTACATTTGAAATTGCACGTTTGAAGCTGTTTTGTGCTACACTTTCTGTATTGGTAAACCCAGCAGTAAGTATTGTGCAAGTCGTTGTTGCTTAATGTTAAATAATTATATTGCAAAGACTAAAATCATGTTCCTACAACATTTTAATGTGTATGCTGGAATTTCTTAAAGCAAATCGTATGCATTAGGGGCGGCTGTGGCTGAGTGGGTAAAGCAGTCATCCTCTAATGCAAGAGTTGGGGGTTCGATTCCACCAGTAGTCACGTGCCGAAGTGTCCCTGGGCAAGACACTGAATCCCTCATAGCCTCTGATGTGTGTCTCATCGGTGTATGAATGTGATAAAGCTCTGATTATTCTTTGTACAGATCTAGTAGAGTGCTGTATGAATGGGTCAATGAGGGCACAGATTGTGTTGTAAAGAGCTTTGAGTATCTTGATAAGATGGAAAAGTGTTATCCAAGTACAGTCCATTTATTATTTTTTCTCGTATACAGTTCAGGCAGAGGTCAGCAGTGACTAGTCGTGGAAAAGATGTGTGCAAAAGCTTTTTTCCTCACTGTAATGTGACTGTGTTCATAAATCATTTCAGAGCAGCAGGAGAGAATGGTCAAAGACAGCAGGGAACTGAACCAAAGAAAAACTGAAGAAGAAAGAACTTTTTTTCAGCACTTTTGAAGTTTTCTGTAGTGTTTTAAAGGACATAAAGTTCATTTCTGAACTGCAGAGTTTAAACACTTAAATTTACAGCTCTAACTGCTCAAAGCAAGATATTTCTTTTAGTTCCACTTTGCTGTGTCGACTGCACCTTGTTCACAAGTAAGAAACTGTTTCGACTGAACTAGAAATCTGATGCAAATTACTTTGTAATAAACATGAACTATAAAAGTATTTTATAATGTAAAATGTTTTCAGTATGCCATTATTTGGGGCAGTTGTGGCTGAGTGGTTAGAGCAGTCACTGAACCCCTCACTGCCTCCGATGTGTGTCCCATCGGTGTATGATTGTGATAAAGCTCTGATTATTATTTGTATAGATCTAGTAGAGTGCTGTATGAATGGGTAAATGAGGACATATTGTAGTGTAAAGAGCTTTGAGTATCTTGATAAGATAGAAATGAGCTATATAAGTACAATTCATTTACCATTAACTGAAGTGTTCCTGTTATCTTGTTTTATGAATTTATGACCTAAAATTTTGGTAAAAGGTCAGCTTAGGTAATGATGCTGTTTTTTCCCCTTAACATTGCTTTCTAAAAAAAAAATTATATAAAATGAAAACTGAAATTCACAGATTTCTCTTTTTAAATCCATTTTAAAAATCCAATAAAAGTATATAAATATATCTAATTTCTTATGAGACTGTTCACTACAACATATACAATTTAAACTGTCCAGAAGAAAACTTAGCCTTAAAATAAATTACATGTAAAAGAAAGAAAAGTAAAAAAAACCAAAAAACTCCTAAACCTTGTGCTGTTTATTTTTTTAACTTTTACTGCTGTTTGAATGTTTTTCCATCACAGATGCGTCAGACGTCTGACTTGAAATGTAATTGTCTGAAACATCTGAGAGGAGCAGGATTTGCAGAGCACAACTGAACTGTCATGATGTTTCACTGATGATTTTCTTTTACCTCCATTTAGTTGTGCCCAGCATTAGATTTACAAAGATAAAAACAATTATTTTATTTTTTTTACCTGGGATGAGAGACCTTTTCGAACAGTACACATAAAACAATATTTTGGTGAACACAACTTGAATACTTTGGATGTGATATAAAAGGAGACCTTCACACATTTTTGTAAAGTCACAGGAGTTCAGTGGGAAAACGTACGCAACTTAATTACTCATTTCAACTTTTTGTGAAGAATTCATCTCTTTTATAAACTGGAGCGTTGCACATCCGATTACTCTTTTGTTGACTACGATGACTAATTTACTGCTGATGCACTGTTTGATAAAGAGCAAAATACACAAATTTAAGAAAAGCTGTGATAGAAGTGGTGCACGTTTTCTCCCCTGCAACAATCTAATTATATAACGGCTCTAAAAGAGCATAACAAACACACTGCAGGCTGCCTTCACTATGGGAAGTAACTGTTTGTTTCAGAGGGAGAGAAACCCACTTTTTTTGGTGGATTGAGTGGATTTACCTGGTGAGCAGAACAGCTACATCATGATGCAGAGGGTGGTCGTCTCCTTTCATGTTGAGTTTCTTCTGCCACTTGCAAAAGCTGTTCAAGCTGTTGTCAGCATGGTGTGTAATCTTTAAATCATCCTGTTAGCCATTAATCACAAACAGACCAAAATGAACATTTAAAAAAACACTTAGAAAATATATCCATCTATGGCTGAGAGGAGCATCAAGAAAAACACAACTGGAATGAAAAGTTTTTATCAAATGTTTTAGGTGTGGTTAAATTAAAACATCAGTTCATCAACCATCTGTAAAGGTTTTAGCAGCTTCACAGTTGATGCTTTTTTGATAAATAGTTCATATTCAGCAAAAGTCACATATAATGAAACATTTTATCCCAAAACTAGGAAAAACATTCAAATCTGAGCTTTTTTTTTCCTGAACTCGCTCCCATGCAAGGTGGATGCCTTTTCTCTCCTTCTGTTCTCCTCCTGCTTTTTTTTTTTTTTTTGCTCTCTGTCTGTGTATCAAGAGCTCTTATTACACATCTTCTGAAACAAAAACTATTGTCATGACTCTGCTCAGCTGGACTTTCAACGCAATCGATAAAATATTTTCATCAAAGCGACAGTGTCCTGGAGAGCCCTCATGTCCCGCTGAGACACAAGTGGTAGGATACGTCATGGATCTGTGGGGAGTTTGGGAGCTGATGTGTCTTTCTGTTTTGTCTCAGGATGATGCCGAAGATGTTTATATAATAGGATTCATGATAGCAGGGTTTCTGCTTTTTGGCATGGGTGGATTCCTGTGTTATCGGCTATTGAGGAAGACTTGGCAGCAGCTTTGGCCATAGCAAAACTGCCGAGTCTGTGTGAAGGTTTGGCTCGTGCTTCAAGTACTCAAAATCAGCTGATTTATGAGCTAAACCATAAGATGGAAGTGATTTGTGAGAATTGCAGGCCACCTGCGGCTTCTGGGACTCGCCAGCAATGTTGGAGACGACCTTGGAGGAGGCTCATAAGCACGGACCAGTGAAATGCCCACAAATCTGGCCATTTTGGATCTTGAAAGTACCAGCAGGACTCAAGGCTGACTGGAAAAAAACAGTCTGCCTGAAAAAAATCAACAATTGTGGCTTATCTGAATCTGACACCCCTGGTTGGCCTCGGAAGCAGGCCAACATCAAATTTCTCCTGGGATATGTGTAAACTAAGGAAAAGTGTTGTCTATCACCCCCCACCCCCGAGCTTCTGTGAAGGCTTATCAGAACTGTGCTGGCTGACACCAACATCTTATCAGGACTATGGTCTATCTGGAAGTGCTTCATGGACAAATTTCACCATCTTACGGTCAAATGCATATGTAATGTGTCTATAAATGTGCTTACTGGCAGATTTTTTTTAATGTCTTAAATCGTGTCCTGATAGGACAAGGTGTGAAGAGATCTTTTTTTGTAATACCACTATCCTATCCTCATGGCTTTTTACCTTTTGCTATCTAAAAAAGTATTCTGAAAAAGGATAAGGGGCCGCGCTCAAGTAGCAGCAGCAACGTGCCCATCTTTCGGACGACTGTACGAAAATAATCTCACAGTATTTCGGTACAATGATAATAAAGTTTATTATGATTCCGATTCTGAAAAATCAGACCAGGGCAATGTGAATGCAAATAATAGACCAAATAAGATTTATATGTATTTACCAAGAAGCTGTCACTGTTAGTCCAGTAAAATTAAAATGTGTACAATTATTTTTTTCTGCAAGGGAACAATGTTTATCCATCAAATTTAACGACACAACGAAGCCTGAAATGTGTGCAACGCTGGCTTTAATTACAACGAACAACACTGTCTTTCAGACTGCAAATGTTACAATTAAAGGATTACATTATTGAAGCATCAAACAAAAACATGTGCAGAGCTCAGTGAGGCTTTTTGTCTCTTCAAAAACATGCATTAAGTAATTTATTCAGTTGTAAATATGCAGAGAAACAGAGAGAAAATAAATTAAAATAATATGCTTTATTTGAATGTTGCATGGTTCCAGATGATGTGATAAAACTCATGCTGAGCCTTTGAGCTTGCAGCTGCAGGTGGTTAAATTGATCTAACAGGGCTTTTTTTTTTTAAACCTGTAACCAACATTCAGAGTCTCTAAAGTTATTATTTTATTCAATGGTGGTCTAATCAAAGCAAACAACAAGTCAGCACATAATGCACTTTTAGAAACTTTTGATGTTTACAGGCACCAGTATTGGCAGTGATGAGGATAAGGAGGATTTATCCAAGGAGGATAAATAAGTTGGCCAAGAAATACTTTGGCCTGTACAGTATCTATACTAAACGCCAAAACAAATTAAATAAATCAAACTTCTGGCATGCCAGAGAATTTTATTAGCTTTGGAAAGACCTGTGGCTTTCTTTAGACAAAGGTTTTCAAGCCTAGTTGTGGCAACTGGATACTTGTTGTACAATACTGAATGAGGAAGAAGAGATAAAGTTACACTAAACTCGTGTATGTGTACAGTTTTTGGCAATTTTATGGATTCAGAATTTGATCAATTCTGAATGATTACTTTAATTATTGCTTACTGTAAAAATATTTTACCTATTTTATTCACATTGGAATGACAACACACAACGGTTGCACTGGTTCATTGAATAAATAGTATATTCTTCAGCATAATAAACCGTTATTGCATCAAACTCTATGAATCAATTTATGACAAACACTGAATAGTCTAGATGAAAAAAAAAACTGAATTAAGGGACTGGCTTGTTTGCTCTTTGTTCACTTTTCTCTTGCTTGGGGTAACAAGAGCAACGGGGCTGGAAAAGCTTTAGTCCAACGTAAGATCTTTGAGTTAGGCTGAGAAAATGGTTTAAATTGAATACCTGTCACTGTGATTGACCAGCTTTTAAAAATAAAACACAATCCATGGTTAACCTTTCTGTAATCTAAATATAAAAACACAAATCAGGTTTTACCTCATCTTGTTCCAGTAAAATGAGTCGAACTATAACGATGTTGATGGCATTTCCGATGCTGGCATCTTTGTACAGACCTGCTACCTGAAAGAAAAGAAAATATTAAACTGAAACCAGAGGGCAGCTCCATTTACAGAGTAGGGCATGGATTCAACCAATTCTCTTGAAACTATAATGAGTTTACGTTGAGTTCCTCTGAGTTTGATCTCAAGTAATATGAATGATTTAAAATGTGTCACTCTAAATAGATTTCTTACTTTCAAATGATACAATGCAGTAAAATAAAACTGAAAGTTGCTAGATATTTGATTTTGATCGTGGTGTCTTGATTCAAGGCTGCGTGTTTGTTTAGGCAGATGTTTCATAGAGAAAGTAGTGAAGGGAGCTTAACAAATGAGAAAATAAGAGCATCTTATTGGATTGATATTTAAAAGTAGAGGCGAGAAGCACTGAAAGACTCAGTGTGAGTGGAGCATCAGTGTCAACAGGGCAACTCCCAATTTGCCCATCAAACATCAAATTATTGAAATTTTCATTGGGGCTGCTGGAATTTTTAACATATCGCTGCAGAAAACTTGACCTTAGCTGAGTGTTGCTTTGTATGGATAAAACATCCCCAGAAAAATGAAAAATAAAATAAATAAAAACCATAATACAACTAAAAATCAGCCTAAAACTACAAAATCTGTCTATGGGACAAAGTCTGAAACTCCTCTTCCAAGAGGTCAGATTGCTGATACATGATGTTCTTACTAAACAACAGATCACATGTGCAGGATGAAAATTATGTATTTGCCTTTGCTTGCCTTTTTTTTTTTTCTTAATTGTGAGACTTTTTAAACGCAACCAATATCCATCCAGTGTCTTATGCCTGCTTCTTCCTTTTCTGATCACAGGGTTCACTGGTGCCCATGTCCAGCCATCACTGTGTGAGAGGTGGACAGGTCTCCAGTCCATCGCAGGGACACATGGAGACAAATGAGACAAACAACCATTCATTCTCTCACTCACATCTAGAGACAATTTAGAGTTACCAATCAGTCTAACATGCATGTTTTTGGTCTGTGGGAGGAAACTGGAGTACCCGAAGAAAACCCACTCTAACCACTCAGCCACAGCCGTGTTCAAATAAAAGTGACATCACACGAGGGTGAAGCCTTCATTCATTCTTGCTAGCACCCAGAACTAATACGTATCAACTGATATTATTTTATAAATATAAATAAACATTTCAAATATTAATAAATATTAATTTTAAACAGGGTACTGTCTATCCCATGAATCTCACAACTTCACAATTGTGTTTTCATAAATTTCAGTCTGTACACATACAAAAAACATACTCAGCAGATTTCACAGCTTGACTGGAAGGAGGGATGAGGCTGTTTTAAACCTAATTTAAAGAATGGATTTTGGTGTTGAAAAAGCAGCAATGAATTGAAAAAAAAATTCAACTAACCGTTTTTATCAGAAAGAATAAATATTTGCATAGTCTATCTTTATCTATTTGTCTCCGTTGTTTCTATTGTTTCAGATGTGATATTTTGGGCCCATGTGCTACTGATGTCAGAGTGTTTCTGTTTTGCTGATTGTGTGTTTGCATCAAGTCATGAATGCTAAATGGTGCCTCGATGCTCCTACAAGCAGCTTTTATTTTGTAAAACTTATTTACTGTAAATTATTCTCAGTGCCACAGCGATTATTTGGCATCATGTGGCAAAGTGGAGTCACGTTGAGAAAATACTTTACACAGAACGGCACAACATAAAAATATATATCTATTGTCAGGATGCAGGCAGCATCAATGATGAAACAATATAGTCTTTGGTGTCTGAGGAAGAAGATGACTTCATTGTTTGGATATGTTCCGGTTTCCATTGAAGCTCTGTGATATTGTTTTCACGAAACAAAACAGTTTGGAGCTTTAGAGATAAAAGCTTGAAAGGCCCACGACAAGATCCATGAGAGGAAATATGGAATAATGGCTGCTTCCTCTGTGCATTATTGTCTGCTCAGTCGGTAAAAATGTCTCCTTTTCTGGCAGCACGTTTCCCCTCCTGACTCTCGTAGGATCAAAACATCAAAACATCTGGAAGTATTCTTGACTTGGAGGTTTTTTTGTCCCTCCATGAAGATATCTAGTGATCATGTTTATTACCTGAGTAATAAAAGTATGATGTAAAATGTAAGAATCTGGGTTTTATTTAAATCTCTATAAACATAAATGCTTTTCCAACTATTTTAATGTGTTGTAACTAAAACCTACTAAATAATTCAAAAATGATTCCAGTAAATAACATAAATTATTATCACAGTATTGTTCATATAATGTTACTTTGTGCCATGACTTCATATGTTTATGTCTCTTTGCTGTGGTAATTTACTCCTCCCAAAGTCCAGATGAAGTTGTTTTCACATTTTCATCACAGGCTGAAATAAATGATCCAACTACACCTTCAGATCCAGAACTTAACCGTGCGTATGGTTGACATTAAGGGGATGAATGACGTGGCTGTACAAAGCTGCCCCTGCTGTGGGCTTCCTTTGTTTTGAAGTGATCCTATAAAAAAATAATCTGATAAATCATGTTAGCTACTCAGAATAAAACCTACAGCACTTGAGTCTGGAGGACTGGAACAGGCCAGATTGTGAACATTTTAACTCCTACTTTGGTTTCCTGAATTATTTCATGGAGGAGAAAGTCAAGTGATTTCTCAATTCTCTTAAAGTGTTTAAAATCTTTTTCAGTGTGCATTAGAGCTGCGATTTTTGGCCCGAGCCCCCTGCCTGAACCGGCCCGGCTTGTTGAGTCAAAATGATGTGCTTGATGGGCGGGCCGGGTCGGGCTCTTGATGCAGTTTTAGAAGTGATGGCGTTACACTTGTGAAGATTCTCAGTCATCCAGGACATGATAAATTCAAAAAAGTTACAAACAAAACTACAGGACTTTATTTGTAACAGAAGACATTTCGCTTCTCATCCGAGAAGCTTTCTCAGTTCAAAGAACATTGAGTGTGGAGTTCAAGTTATAAAGCTAAGGTAAGATACATACATACATATGCAGATGGACCTATCACACCTCACAGTAGGGGTTTGTTAAGGTCTTTGTTGATCTAATTCACAGACGGGCCTCTCTGGTCACATGGATGACATTCCTGAAAGGTGTGTGATAGCGGTTTCTTTTTTTTTCCTTGGGTGCGCACCTGCCGAGGATGTTCTGGCATGAGACCATTGCCCTGGATTAGCTGCAGATTATTCTTCACCCTGAGTTTGGATCGCTGTGGATTATTATTTTTTCTTACCCAGGACTGCAGCGGAGCATGCTGGTGAGAACCTTTTTTTTATTTCGGCATGCCGATGCCTAGATTGAGTGGGCGTTTCCCTCATCCTCTTTCAGAACAAACTTTCCTTCAAAGAGGATAGTTGGACTAAAAGTTTGATCAACTTGTTGTTCTTTAATTATGGGTTTTATGGGATTTCATGTGTTGATATGGAAATATGGGATGAAGCATTTGGGGGGTTTGTGGGGCATAACTGATGGTTTGATCAAATTGTGTTAACTGCCTTAAATGTTATCCTTCGTGGCCAATCTATATTAGTTTATTTTTGAGCACTTTTTGCCTGTGCGGGTAAATTATTTCCTGTTTACTGTACTTGGTTATTCCTACACCTCAACAAATATAATCTTTTTGCACTATCAGCTCCAGGAACTGCCCATGACTTAAGTGTTTTGTGTAATTAATCCCCCCTTTTACCTTAGTTTTGGGGGCGGGTTGTTACAGATGGATAACTGGATCAACAGCCGCGTGCATCCGTGGACCGTTAATAAATATAATATTATAATAACTATAATAATCCGCTGACTCTTGTTAATAAACAAGAAATCTTATATCTTCCTTTCTTTGAAATACATTTATAAAACCTTCATGTCAAACTGATTTGCTTACAAAAGCAGTAAAAGCTTAATTAAAAAAACGTTGGTTATTTTTTTTAGGTTTGGGTCTCTAATTACAGTTAATTGGTGAGTTTCGGGTCAGGCTCGGAAAAAAAAGAGATGGGTTCGGGCTGGGTTGGATTTTTTAGGCCTGAATGCAGCTCTAATGTGATTTGGTCTGTCGTGAAATCAAAGTTCAAGCTGAGATCACTGTTCAAGTTGCCTGATATATTATATATTAGAATTTAGCAGCTGGCAGCCGGAACAACCCAAACCTAGAGCAGAGCCTGTTTGTAGAGCCATTTCGTACCCTGGTGGAGCATTTTGACTTTTTATGCCTAAAACAGCTGTGAACTTCAATTCCCACTACTCTCCTTTTTTATTTATTTTTCTGTAGTAACATGTTAGCTACCAACAGATTTTTTTAAATGTTAAATTACATAAAAGTGATCCAAATCCTTCATGAAGTTTTTCAAGACTAAAGTTGACCCCTGCAGTCATCGGCTAAATATCAGAGAAGACCCTAGACAGATGCCCACGACTGTTCACACTCAAACTCAAGGCTAAGTTAAAACAGTCTAATAATGTAACATTTTCAGAATTATGGAAATGTTTTAAACCAAACCCCAAGCCTTATACTTTATCTCCAAGAACCCAAACTGCCCTAATGCATGCTGTTTTCAGCTTATTACTTTTTATCAATGATCTTGTTTAGGCTAAAATACAGTTGTTGTTTTTTTGTTTGTTTTTTCTGTCGAACTGTGTTGTGTGCCCTTGGAAAGCATTCATGGATTCAACTAAAGAAATGGGAGTAAAATGTGTCTGTGATCAACTGTCACAAATAAAGTGAGAAAAAAATTCAATTTCAATAGTTTTTTGCGAAGTTGTCTGTGAAGTGTTGAAACATCAGTGCATCCTTTGAGTTTAAGAGCCGTTTTATGCAAGAATGATTCATAGATCAGACTTAAGTGATTAAAATTAAAAAAAGTTTACCACAACTGTTGTCAATTATTTGAGTGAGTTCATTACAGAACTGTTATATATATATATATATCCATCATTAAGTGATATTATTGCTGCTCATCACTCATGTTTTCCCATGCTGATAAACTCCTCTCATTACTAACTTATTGTCACAACTGCAACAACCCTCTCCTCCATAAATGTCAGATTCATGTCTAATAAAAGGATTTGCTATGATTTTATCTGCCTTTCAGCAGCCCTGTGTCCCTTTTCCACCTTATCCTGTTTTTTATCTAACTGAATCAGCCAAATATCTGTCTCCTGACCCTCCTTCCCATCAACATAGACTCTAGATTATGCAGTCGTTCATTTAGGAGACATGACCAATATCGAGTTTCATCACAAGCATTTTTTTTTCTTGCAAACAACATTTTTTTGAAATGACTAGTTTCTTCAGTTCAACTTAGTTTGAACTCTACCACAAATTTACAACAGAAGTCACTTTAAAAAGAAGTAAATATATTTATTCAGGTATTGGTTGATTTAATATTTCTAAGTCACAGGACATATGAAACACTATAATCTGTACTTTATAGGCTGATAATAACTGCATGCTACATTTTACTGCTTCTCATCTCATGTTAGGTTCATAATTTTATGACATGTCCTGGTGGTGATAAAAGTGGAACGAACACCAGGAAAGTTATGTTCCCTGCCACAAAAGCCTGCCTGTCACCTGTCTGTTTTTGCATGAGAAATCGGTAAGGGAGAACTGTGGGAGTCAAACTTATATGTCTGTTAGCAAAACATCTCATGAACCTCTAGATACATTTTAATATAATTTCTAAAGTAATCATTAAATATACATCTACAACTGATTTCCTTTGGAATTCCACCTTAGTTAAGATGAGCGCCACAGCTAATCAACCCTGGCAAACAGAAAATTAGCTACAACTTTGTCAGTTTTCCAGGCGTGAAACTAAAATTTTCAGTAGCAGAGAGTTATCCCCATCACATTATCTGAGCACTAAGAGATCATGCACAATCTATGTCTAAAACCTACAATGAGGCAGGTGATACATTCAAAGACTGCTAGTTTTATTTGATTTATTTTTGACAACAATTTCAAGTTTTTATTACTATGGTCAAATACCGGTAAAAGTTGTAACTATAATTTAAACTAAGTACCAAGTTGCTGCTGGCTAAAGTCATCAATGTGACATGAAATCTACAACACAAGTCTGAGACGTGACTAACCAGATGCACGTGTGTGTCATTTATCAGAGGAAGGAGTCACAGCAGGTTGCATTGTGGGAAGAGAGCGAACCAGAGGAAGCAGCAAAAAGCTGCGGGCCATATTCTGCTGAGAAGCACGGGGTCGCACTGTTCAGCAGGATGCAAGTTACATACATGCATTACCTAAAAATAGCTACAGAGCTGCATGATGTTGATTTGGCTATCAAGTTCAAATCTTCATCCAACTGAGCACCTTACAAAAAGACTCAAAACACCTTTTAACTTGCATTGTTTAACAACTAATACACTTTCTTCTAAAGTTATCTGATGGTGCTCTGATGGATCATCTTGAGCTGTAGAAGGTAAACATGAATTTTCTGATAATATGGGTGTAGTTTAATGTCAAATACTCACAATGTTCATGACAGCAAGAACATAGTTCTCCACAGCTTTACTCCCATGGTAGTCGACCATCTTAGGGTCAGCCACCACCAACGTTTCCACCCACTTCTCTTTGCTCACTGAGCGTTGTCGAATCCTTCTCCTGTGGCGCCTGTGCTCCCACCGTGCACGCCGTCGCTCGCTTTCCTCTAAACTGTGTCGGGAATCTAAAGACAGGTGAGCAAAAGCACAAATAAATAAAAAGGACCTAATAAGTGAGCCACGTTAAATACGTATTCATCTTGTCGCATTCATTTCCTGCTGTATTGTTGTGAAATAAAAGTCTAAAGCAGGTCACAAACAACCAAATACAAGTATTTTTAATGCTAAAAACAAATAACCTGGAGTTCCTTTTTTCAAGCACCAGAACACCTAAATAGGCTACGAAAAAAGAAAAAAAAAATGTTTAAATTGTGCAAAACTGTTGTTTAAATCTCTTCCACTAAACCACTGGAGACAACCCTGGCTGTCTGTTAGCGAAATGTCCCAAGAACCACTGTACGTTTTATTTAAATTTTCAGAAAGTAAAAACTGTATGTACCTCTTCAACTTAATAACTTTTGGAGAAAGATGACAAGTCAACATTCACCAACACACAAATGGCTTTAACTCTGTCAGTTTTACAGATATTAGATAGTAAAATGTGACGTGGTAGTAGCTGAGAGCCATTCACAACAATCTGAGCAGGAAATTATGCCAACACATTTTCAGGGTTTACCCAAAATGACTAAAACTCTGTCATAACACAAGATGATCATAGTTCAGAACTTGAGCATGAAAGGTAGCGGGTGACATGCATTTCTTTACAGAAAGACCGTTAACTTCGTGTTATGTCCTCCATGGTGCTCCATAACTATCTGCAGTGTGGCCTGGAAATAAAACACTTCTTACTTCTCTAAATATTCTCTGTTAGTCTTTAAAAGCAGTTCAGATCAACCTTATGTTTGAGTTAGAGAATAAAAAACAATGCTATATTTACTAAAAATGCAATTAAGAGTTTAATATTAATAGTTTTAACAGTTTTACGTGCATGTAGCTCTTGTGTCAAGTTAGTGACTTGTTCTTTCAGCTTCTCCCTTCCTCAGCAGTCACCACAGCAAACTAACTCACAAAGACTGCAATTGTTTTTATGCCGGATGCCCTTCCTGATGCAACCACAGAGCTACCACAGCCCTCTGTGTGGAGCAGAGAGCTGCCATCTAGTGTGTAGGGGGCAGATGGTGGGGTAGTCAAGGGCCTTGCTCAAGGGCCCAGGGTGAGGCAAATGAGGGTGGAGGGAAATGTGGGTGTTTCACCTTTCCACATTTTGATGTTGTCTGTCCGGGGGCTTGAATAGGCTTGCCTTTTCTAACCTCTGCGCCACCACTCCCCATGGAGTTAAGTGACTTCATATTTTAAAATGTAACCACCATGTTAAGCAGGATTTGGGACTGATAACCTGAAGGCAGACCCTGAACATGGGCAACACAGAACGTTAAGAGCATTCATTAAAACAGAGAGCTGGCTGAATGGATTGCTTCAAGGGTCAATAAGAATAAAAAAATACAATTCTTCTCAAACACAGTTTCAATCAGCACCTGTGGGTGTTGAGACAACAGGGACGTGCTGGTCCTATTCATTCTTGAAATGTAAATTTTATTTTATTTTATTTTTTTTACAACTCTGCATTTTAAAATAAATGCCTGAATCCATTCAAATAACCAGGGTAAAACAAGAACATGTCACAGTTTGTTTTAAAGGTGTTAAATTAACAATTATCGTCACATGCAACACTGCTCTGTCACTATTTTTTCTTCATTCAACCTTTATTTAGACAGGTTAATCCCATTGATCCTCGAGGACTCATTTACAAGAGAATTTACAAGAGGTACCTGATATCTATCTATCTATCTACATATATATATATATATATATATATATATATATATATATATAT